CTTCAGAATCCCAATTTCAGCCGCTTTTGGCCCGGAACAAAATTATTCAGTCATCATCCACGACTCATAAACGTAGGTAAGCATGAGGATAAAAATCGAGTGAATACCTATAATTTAGTCTCCCGATTCAGCTCGGCTTAAGTCACAGTTGTTTTAATTAGTTCACCAGAACACCACTGGCCACTCCAATCCGCCAGTCGATCTCTTCCTTAAATTTTCCATCACCGGTGAACAGGACTCCGAGGTACTAGAATTGTCCACCTGCTCCACTGCCTCCGCTAATCTGGAGAGCAACGGACAGGAGAGCGAGAAAGCACTAGGCTTTACGTTCTCGATGCGTTCATATGCATGCCGACTACGTCGGATTGCGAACCTTTCCAGAGAGCCCTGTGGATCGATTTCAGAAGATGCCAATAAAGCATGGCCGTCTGCAAACAGCAGCCTTCTCGTCTCTACATCTTATACACCGATGCAGTCGTCGCCTTGGCTGCGCCTGACTATACTATCAGAAACGGGAGAAGGAACTGAACGCAGCCTTGGCGGAAACCAGTTCCAACGCTGAAATGTTTCGACTTAACGCCATTTGTTCTGACGCAGCATCTTCTGCTAGCATATAGTGATTGGATGGTCCGTATGAACTGGCCATCGATCCCATCGCAAGCAGTCCCACAATCTGGTGGACGGGATCCGGTAATAGATTTTTTTTTAGGTCAACATGGCACATGTACACCGGAAGGGCCAACGCCCACGATTTCTCAACATTCTGGAGTGGAACAAATATATGGTAAAAGGTGCTTCGACGGGCCGGAAACCACACTGCTCTTCTTATATCTTGTCAGTTATTCCGCGGCATTTCCTTTCTAGCACCTTTGCGTACACTTTACCTTGGAGGCTCAGTAAAGTAGTGCCCCAATAATTGGTGCACTCCCCGTGCTCCCCGTTCTTGTACTGGGGTACAATAAGCCAATTATCCAACCCACTAGTGTCTTACCCCTAGCCAGTGCAGTTTGATAGACACGCGTAAGCCAGCACATGCCTTGTTCGCCTAATGCTTTGAGCATTTCAGAGTGGGTTTCATCAATTCCAGCAGCCTTTCCACTTTTCAAGTTTTTCACACCTTATGTAATTTCATCTACAGAAATGGTAATATCCGCTCCCTTCTGCTCGATAGGTGAATCTTTCTGCGCTTGCTCCGGGTTAAGGAATTCTACAGAGTACTCTCTCCATCGCCCAAGAATGTGCTTATCCTTGTGAAGATGGTGTCCAGACCTGTCCTTCAAGACTTTGACTGCATTTCTTTCCACCTCTTAGTCGATGGATAGTCTGCCAGAATACCTTGTTTGCCGTCTGCAAATTCGACTCACCAATACCTCACTGAACTTATCCCTTGAATCAGCCTTGGCTTTCGTCACTGCTTTCGCTGGCGCTTTGCGTGCATCGACATATCGCACGCGAGTAGAAGGCTCTTTGCTTCCAAGACATTTCTTGAATGCAGCCTTCTCTTTGACTACCACTTGTGCCCTTCGTGTCCACCGGGAGCTTCTTTTCTTACCTCCTTGAGGTAGGCTAAACCGTTTGAATACGTAGCATTAAGCGGCAGCCTCGAGTATGCAGCTTTTAAGGAGCTCCTACTCGTTTTCCACATCAACAGTCATTAAAGGGTTCTGTTCAAGCCATCGTGCGATGTTGTTTGCAAATTTCGCTCTGGTGTTCACCGATAGTAATGTTTCCCATTTGATTTTCTGGTTTTTTTTCTGTCACCATATCTTCATATGGTACTCCATTTCTTACAACAGTGTGCCAACAACAAGGTTGTAATCGGTTTATGGCTCTGCGCCTCTCTTAACGCGAACATCCACTATAGAGCGTCTTAAGCCAGATGATTCGAGTATCAAATCAATCATCAGCTGTACAAGCTTCCCTGTTTCAGGCACAGTGATACTCGCTTCGATGATGAAAGAAGGTGTTCATAATAGACAGTCCGTTGTTTGCACAAAATCGCAGCAACTTCATGCCGTTTTTGTTAAGGCCGCTAGGGCCGTTCTTTCTTGTCAGGCTTTTCCACTTTTCAGCGTCTAATCCAACATGCGCATTATAGTCGCTCATGAGTATGTGGACTCCGTATTGGGTACTTCATACAGAGCACGCTCTACTTCCTCATGGAAGGAGTCATATTCTCCCTGGAAATTGGGCGATACCTGTAGTGAATGCTTTGCCCTGTTGTAGCTTCAGTCAGTGGATGACCACCCTTCCGCTGACAGGCTTCCAATCATTGATTCTGTCTGTGAGGTTGGGTTCTACCAGAACACCAACACCGGCCTGAGCGCGCGTCGTGATATCGACGCCTGAGTAGAATAGCTTTTACCAGTAGAGGTTCAGTATTCCAGAGCCATTTCGCTTATTTGACGAGAGTCCAACTGTGTTGAG